GTTTGTGAAGTTGTATTCGATCTCACATCAAAGCTCAGCTTAGAAGACAGAGATGGTGTGGATTCTGAATTGGAAGCGCACTCTAGCCCCTCCACTTCGGTGAGATGAACTTTTTTTCTTGTCCCTAGTGACTTTTAATTATTGTAATTTTAATACGAGCAGTTCAGTCATTCAAAAGACACCGTATACGTGATTAGACTTGGTCCATTATAAGTTTGAAGTAAGTCTTGAGCACTGTCTATTGTTACCGCTGGTTTCGTAGTTTCGGTCACAGAAATGGAATATATGAAGCTGCTCACCTGAGGGTTAAAACTATCATCATTTCCTGTTATTACTTTCAGAGAGTGAATGATCGCCTGGACACTGAAACGTCCCCCGTGGAATACTTTGACGAAGCAACAGGCGAAATGATTTCCGTACCACGAAAAACTAGCGAGGTCAAAGGTAAGATGTGAGGATTTTCTTACAGAAATTGATTTTATTTTATTAAGACTCTCATTTGGCTTCAAATCCTTGTCTTTTACACTGTGTCATTGTTTTGAGGTAGTAACGAAAGAAGGAGGGAAAGACGGCGGAAAGCTCAGGAGGAACTGCAAAGCGGCGGTGGCAATGACGATGATTTAAATAGGGAATATTACGAAAGCACGAGTGAAGAGGAGGACGAACGAATACAGATGAGAGAAGGTATATCAGACAAAAAATTTCTTCTGTTCAGTACTTTTGTCTATCTACCCAGCATTCTCAGGCATCTTTTTTTCTTTGTTCATTTTTTTCGCAACTATCCTCATTAGTTCGATATAGTGCAAATCAGCAACTGTAATTTGTATAAATTTCTGCTATTACAGATGAAAGGTTTTCGCAACCGCCCCTATTACGAATCATGGATTCCAAGAATAATCTCCATGTGATCACTATCTGTGGAGGAGTCGTTGGTAGGCAAACCGGATGTGATATTGTTATCGATGATTCATCTATTTCGAGGGTCAGAGTTCTTTCAACTGACTAACTATATTTTTGTTGTTTCAATTGAATTTACATCAATGTTTCATTTTAGAAACAATTGGACTTTGTGTTTGTTCCGGAGAGTAATTCATACGTTGTGAACAAGCTTACCAACAAAGGTCATGTCTATCTGAATGACTACGAACTGTTGGTGCGTATTCCTTTTTTTCTGCATAAGCGACTGACTTAAGCATTTATAGTATTTTAGGCAGACGATGGACGAGAAATTGAACATGGTGATATTCTTAAATTCGGCAAAGAATTTTTGCGAGTTCATGTCCATTTTGGTGGGTCTTTTTTGATTTGGCTTTATAATCGCGTTGCTTTTTTACCATTTATTTTTACTTGTTTCATAGTGAGTTGCTGAATATTTTAGGAAACAATACTTGCCCTGGATGTGAACAAGGGCTTTTGACGACTGAAACAGCCGCAGTATCACAGTCAGTGACTGTTCCCTATGGTGAGACTGCTCGTAGAAGAAACATGAAAGCGCTTAAGGCCATGTACGGAATCAACGACTATGTGAGCCCGATTTTTTGCTTTTTTCTTCCAGTTTCCTTGTTTCAGTCATCCACGTTAACCGCGAACCTTCTTTTTGAGTTTGAATCTATCTTAGGTGTTGTCTGGGTCTGATTACTTATACTGCGCATCTCACCTATTCTGCTCTGGTAATTTACCGTGATCATTGATATCTTAGGCAGAAAATGCTCGCACTCCATATTTTGGCCCAGACCGTGCCGCAAAACGACGGCGTCTTGTTGGCTCGGAAATTGACGTAAATAAGGACGTAGGCAAAGTTGATCCGAATGATATCTACGCCGGATGTGCTGCTAAACCGGTTCCAGGTATATTGATTTATTTTTTGTTAAAAGTACAATCCAAAAGATCCAATTTGCGATTTCTGAAACTTCTATGTCTAGGTGCCGTTGTTGTGTCAAAGTTCGATCCGGTCAAACCACTCAATGAAGCAAACAAAGGGTTCCGCCTGCTTCAAAGTATGGGTTGGAAAGAAGGCGAGGGGCTAGGAAAGGATGGAAAGGGGCGACAACAACCGGTACGTTTATTTGTTGTGCTCTTGATTATAATAAAATTAGTCAGAAACCTAATTGGTAGGTAAGTGTAATGGTTTGAGTTCGCTTCTTTGTTTTTTTTTTTGTTTCGCTGTTCCCTAACCCTCTAGTTTTTGTTTCGTTGTACTCGCATATGTTTTTCCCGTAATAGTCTAGTTGAAATTGCTTGTCCGATTACGACGTGCCCAGTGACAGTTGATGGCAGCGACCTCGACTGTCAGCTCCACTTGACGATGTGATTTGACCGTGAGAAATTGGTCCTTGGTGTATGCCATGTATCAAATCTAAAAAGCGCTTTGCTCTGTTTTTGTCCTTTCAGATATTTTGGTGTTAGTCCCACATCTTCTACATAAAGAACCATCAACAATCATTGCACCTAAATTGGTTTAGGGGCAGAAATGGGATAGGAAAAAACTGGACATGTATTAGGATTGATGAAAAGTATAAAGAAAATTATCTTCTATCAATGTTTGGAGAATTCGATAGGTGGTTACGTATTGATCCAGAAAGTTTCAAAATTTGTTCCAGCAGCTTTAAATTCTTTTCTCCCTGTCCTTTTCAAAGTTGTCTTTATCTTTCAAAAAAGTTGTTTTAGGTCGAATCCAATGTCCGTAGTGAACGAGCGGGATTAGGCTCTACTGAACCCAAGGTCGTGCCACCAAAAAACCGGAAAGAGGCAATCTTGGACAAAACGCGAGAACGATACGAAAAGGTAATTATTATGAATTTCGCTTATTTGCTATTCCGGTTTCAAAGACAGTAAGTGATTCATTCAAGCATGTCTTTGATATTTGAAAAGTGTTGTCAAAGTTGGTTGTGAAAACTGTCAACAATTTTCACCGCTACAGATTTGTTTACTAGATAACCACTTATGATTTGTTTATTAGATAACCCCTTATGTTTCTGAGCATGGCTTCTGAATGGTAATAACCGTTACGAATTGATCTTGATTAATATGTACGGCAGCAGTGTGCCTACCTCACTGAGCAGGGTTTTATCCCATTTAAGAGAAAAAGGGTTGAATTGGGAGAGGAGAAATGCGTGGTCCCTTTACGCCAGCCGGGTCTTTTATTCCTTTTGCATGGCTTGGCTTTTGTCAGGTTTTTCGAGCATATCTATTTACTGATAAACTTGAAATGGGTTCGAGGCGGTCAGAAAGCAGCCGATCAAATACCTTATAGATCCTGGATATGAAAGGAGGTTGTTATGCATTCAAGGAAATACGGCAACACTTGGTTTACTCTGTAATTTGATTTGCTTTTGCCATATGCAAACAAGAAAAGGAGCATGCCGGTACATTGAGGTCCCCGAACTCCGGTCGCTGTTTCGTTTCCGTTTGTGTTGCTTAAACTTTCGNTTTTGTCAGGTTTTTCGAGCATGTCTATTTACTGATATACTTGAAATGGCTTCGAGGCGGTCAGAAAGCAGCCGATCAAATACCTTATAGATCCTGGATATGAAAGGAGGTTGTTATGCATTCAAGGAAATACGGCAACTCTTGGTTTACTCTGTAATTTGATTTGCTTTTGCATAACATTTTAACAAGAAAGGGAGCATGCCGGTACATTGAGGTCCCCGAACTCCGGTCGCTGTTTCGTTTCCGTTTGTGTTGCTTAAACTTTCGTCAGCTGTGGTTTGCTTGCGATTCTTCTTCGCCGCTCACATATGATTGATCAGTTATCGTCGCGCATCAAGTTCAAGTATAGCAGTTGTCAAGTTTCGCAGTTGTCAGCGTAGAAAGGACGAAAATTGAAATCGGTAGTACTTTTGTTTTTGATTTTTGATATTACAGTTGCTCAACGAAGTCGGAGATGATCAATCGTCATAACGTAAACAATCAAATAAATGTACATATGTAGTCAAATGCAACCAAACAATGAGGATCTGTTTGATAACGAGAACTGAATAAAGAGAAACTATTGTTGTGTAACCAGAAGATTCAATGATTTTGTACAGATTATAGTTAATGCTTACTTATTCTGAAGTCTTGTCAATAGTAACGCTTTTTTGAGAATACTACTCAAAATTACTCGAGCAAGAAAATTGGCTTTTTACGCTTAGAACAAGCTGCTCATTTGAAGACTACAGCGCGTACTAGTAGTAGTAGACACCTCGGAATTTTCGTTGTGATGATACATTTGATTTCACTGCCATGCCCCCACCATTCCTCACTTGAACTACTTGATTTCTTGATGTAGTCATGTTTTCAATCCCATCATTGTCTTTTTGGTAGAAAGCTTATGCGAGGAGTATTCTCAGAGATCTCTCGCGTTATATCGGCTTATTTATTCTCAGTTAAATCCCTCATGTTATATGGGCTTTTTCGAACGGATTGGATGCGATTTGATCATTCATGAGACCCGTACAGTCACATGAGTATGCATTTTGCTCCAAAATGGAGAACAACTAGTTGGAGACACTTGGCCCACTCTCTCGTTGAGTACTACTCGCATGAGCCCTGTATCGCGAGTACAATTGAATCGAAGACTGTCCGTGATCTGATGAGCATCAGGATTTTGGACCACCGAGCTGACAAGCGATCTTACGAATAGAAAGTTCAGTAACGTGATGATTTCTTTTGTGGATCAGTTCTTCTTCCAGAACAGTTCTGTGAAGGGTAATGAAGGCAGAATTATCGAGAAGAAAACCCATTGGGATCGGAAATTATATTTGCGCTAGAACTTGAATTGTAACAGATTTTGTCCATCTGCTTTTGGTACGCACAAAAACTCAGTCAAGAAAACCTGTGACAATCTATAGCCCTCCCAGCGTTTGCTGTTATACACAATTGCGCAGTAGGGATTGAAAAGAGGTTTCATGGCGGGGAACCTCTCCGGAAAACCGGGGATGGAACTTGAGGTGTCTACGTATTCTAGTACGCACTGTGATCTTGCGATGTTACAAGATTCCTATCTGTATTTGTTTGGGAGCTGGGAGGTGGTAATCGTTCAGTGGTACGTGGTATCATCGGTATTCTGATTCGATTATCTTTTTTTGTCCTAGTGGAAGCCGATTTTGCAATCTAAACTTTTCTTAATGATAGTGCAAAATTATATTGCGTATATGTGGTGTGCGTACGGATTTTCTTAGCTATGTTGAAAGATCTTTTGAGTAGAGTGGATTCTTTCTATTAAGGGAAGAGTAGAAGTTGGCTCAGAGTGGTGGCTGAACTAATCTTTACCGTCCGTATTCTCACCAATTGCCCTTATCCGTAGGCCCAAGCGTTCAGAAGCGGATAAAGGCAAGCTCGTACCTCCTGCTGAAATCCGATCCATGTTTTCTAAAACTAAATGAGAGCCTCGTTATCGAAAATCACATGGAAAAGGTCATGTCGGGGACATGGTCAAGCATGATGTTGCGTTTAGGTTGAGGTTCTCAAATTCCAGAACAAAACACGATCAGTCCTAGCTATCCAACTTTCTTAGAAGTACCCAGGCATGAGAAGGTGGTCGGGAGTTTAGATTTCGATCTTTTTAACTTTTCGTACAATCCGACCTTCACCCCTTTCGTAGACACGATCTTGCCTTTTCTGACAAGCAATCCCATCTCTATTTGTCACGGGCAGCATAAACTCGGCAGCAATTTGAGGATACCCATGAGTAGCAGAATTGAGGGCGATCAGCTATAAAGAAAATGGGCTGAAATAAGTGCAGCTCATTGGAAAATCTCACTTTTTTTCGGTGTTTCGTACCTTCTTTAATGGTAATATGATCAATTTGAACATATATAGAAGGGGTGGCTATCTAGAATGCCAATTTTGAATGGGAGAGTGAAAAAATCGAGTTCCTGGTTGGCTGACCACTGTAAATCATTAGCCATTGAGCGGAGACGACCACGCATTTTGAATGGATGTGAAATGTATGGCGTATCCGAGGGATCGTTGAGCAATTCTGGCTAGTTCATAGAATTGTCGGAAAAAGGGAACAGAGAAGTANTATCATCTTTTAGCTGTATCTTTCCTGGTTTATGGGGGGTGAGTTCCTGTGTTGTTTTCGTGGTCAGTGTGGGCTCCCAAAGCTCATTTGCTTTGACGTCATAACATCTCCATCCAATAACATTAANGAACTGTGATTTCAAAGGCATCCGGATCTAAGTACTCACGTCATTGGAACCAAAGTTCTGCGTCATTTCTCTGTATACTAACGGTACGATTGGTATCCTTCATCATTCGATGATGCTACTCATCAAATACAGAGCTGTCGCTGTTGAATCATCACTTTTTCAGATTTATTCCTTTGCTTTAAAACTTCACTCACAACTTGTTCGGGGAAGTTTTTGGTCCCTGACAATCTTTGCCGCCTAGAAATTGCTTATAGGCCGTAAACATTACTCATTTTGTCCTCGATATTTGTGTCGTAGCCGCTGCAGATCGCCTTTGCGTCCTAAAGGAAGGACGTAATCGACGGCGACGAAAACATTCCACTGGAGCTTACTCGTCGAGAATTTGTAGCAGATCAGCGACCAATGTCCGTTGATCATGCTCACCCCTTAACTCGACTCATTTCCATGTTCTCATTCATATTTGTAGAGGGAAGGGATCGTTAGGGAAAGAGTTCAAGAATAATTGTCTATGGGAGTTTCACGCTTTTTTCACGGCTTCCTTGGATTCCTTCCTTTTCTGCGCAGTGTTCTGAGCATACACCAATTAAGCTTCCTCCATGTTCTTTGGAATGCCGCTGAGCAGTAAAGTACGGCTTCTAGCTAGTCTTGCTCAATTTTTTCGAGTCTAGGCAGGCTTCAATTTTATAATATGGTTGGAGGGTACGGCGAAGATTCCTCATCGAGCAGGTCAAAGGTGGAGGTAGAACTGAACGGGATGGGAGACAATATATTGGATAAGCAATATATGGCAGCCCGATACCGCCGACTTCTCCGTGCTGCTGCATGGCCAAAGATTTTTGACAGCATCTGTTCTCACTCTCGAAAGGAACGCGTAAAATTTAGAAAACTAGCCTTTTTTCCTGGGTAGAGTTGTTCAGAGTCTATTTATTTCTTTTTGTTTATTTATTTAATAAACACAACAACACTGTAATCAAAAGCGATTGATCACTCGACACAAAAATCAAGCATACCTAGCGTCTTACCAAAACTTCAGTTAGATGGAAGTTATTTAAGCTTAGTGGTTTTCTAAGTATCATCTTTTAGCTGTATCTTTCCTGGTTTATGGGGGTGAGTTCCTGTGTTGTTTTCGTGGTCAGTGTGAGTCCCCAAAGCTCATCTGCTTTGACGTCATAACATCTCCATCCAATAACATTAACTACATTCGCTCAGGGTATTTTGGAAATGAAAAAGAGCAAGGTCGAGAACATTCACTGGGCTTTTGTGGAGAAACATGTGTTCAGAGAAAAAAAAACTAATTGATTTCAGTTGTTTCTGCCGGCAACAGCTTTCTTTCCAATCCCATGACATAGGCTTATAGAAGGGTGTGGTCTGTGGGTGTAAGTAGCAAAAGACAGATCAAGATCTTCGTGAAAGGTGATCAGATCAGATCAGAAGTATGGGTCAGGACGAGCTAAAGAGGACGTTTTGCCGGGTTCAGGATACCCTATGTGCGCAAAAATCTAGGTTATTCATGCGAGGGCTCACCATCCTAGTTCAGTAAAAGATGGTAGGTCCTAACACGACTAGTCAAGATTGTTGTGTTCCCAGCAATCTAGTTAAGTGTGGGGACCTTTGTTCCTCATCTTACCCTCTCTATACGTTGATAAGTAGATTCTTTAGGAACCCTACACCAGGACGTATAAGGTTGGCGTTTGGGTACGATTAAGGTATCCAATGTTAGTGGTTAATGGGACGACCATACCAAGGTACCAGTTGATCGAGGAATTGACTACATTGTGATGGCTTTCATGGGTTTCCAGGCCGAGAGTGTCAAATCCAGGACTGACCTTTCAATCATATTTTTTTCAAAGTCTTTTTTCTTCTCCCATTCCTCTTCTTCTCCCCAGTCTCAGTCTCGCGATGAGACCAAAGGGTCTTGGTCGACAGTGCTTCACCTTTTCGTGCGCCTCGCATATGAACTACGTCCAAGATTCTGGAAGCAATTGAAGGCGTAGTAGACATATCGTTCACATTCCTTCTTCATACATATATCTGGAGATTGTTCAAGAAGATGAAAACTAAGTTTACACTCATTTCTGTTCGAGACGGTCCATTGAAGTCCGGTTGACCTTGTGCGATCGAAAATAAGTTTCTCTCCTCCAGTGCTCCGCGTTTTATTGTGGCTCTACCAGATCTTAAGTGGTCAGCTGGCGTCCTACTCGTCAAGAATTTTGGTTCTCCCAGACAAACCTGATTCTAACCAACCACCAACTGTCAAATGAATTTCGATTGCGGAGGCGTAGGCGAACGAGCAGTGCCGAGAAAATTGATGGCTTGGCGATTGGTTTTAAAGGAGATTCATGTTCGCTGCCAGATGTGCGTGGAGGTGCACTGTCTTGAAATAGGGAATAGATTCCCATTCAATCGTGAGGTGTGGATCCACTTCCTGCTAGGGAGATCGAACATGTCTGGGAAACAATTGCAGTTCTCGAAAAGCTGCTTCTGCTGATTCCCTGGGGATATTTCCGAACACTCGATTAGCAGTCGCCCAATGACTAAGCATACGTTCTTTTGACGAAAGCGGTGACTCGATGACGAATAACTGAGAACTGCTGCAGTGACGTCAGGAGATTTGAATTGCGAAACGACCGATCGCTTTTGTCTCTTTTGGCGTATCGTTTTTTATTAGCAGTTTATTAATGATTTGTTGTCTCATTCAAGTCCACTTTGCTATCATCACTCTTTCCTATCGTCCTTCACCTTTGGGGTCCGAACCCAGACAAAAAA